GCATTTAAGGAGGGGCAGAGCTACAACCCGACACCAGTGTTATGCCAGTTATGGAAGAACCTGCCTGGAAACCTGAAAACCTAGAAGGGTTTCTCAAGCGAGAAACCAAGCTGTGTGTTCTCAGTAGAACCCTGGAAATCCAATTCAGTCTGAAACCTGCCTGCCCGCTCTCAGTAGGAGCTGAGAGAGAAACTCTGAACCTGCTCTGTAACCCTAACTGCTCTGCCCTGCCTTTGCCAAGCTCTCTGCCTGCCTTCAGCCTCTGGACCCTCCCGGTTCCCCCCTTCTACCGCTCTGCTCAAACTCTGATCAGGTATAGACCTGCAAACGCACAACCTGCAAGTTCACTGGATGACTGCTAACCAATCTGTCCCTCTCTGCATTAAACCAGTCGTGACCAGACCCGGACCCGATTTATCCCAGAACCACTGTGACATAATTGTGAACTGTTCAACAAACCTTGCTAACTTTTTCCCAGCCTCTGAATGTTTTGCATGTGGGTTAGATCCCTGAAAGCCAACATGACAGAACACTCTGGCCAACAAACTAAACCAGCAGACACACTCCGGAGGGTATTGGATCAGCAGGGAGCTCTCATCCAAAACCATGACACCGCTCTCCGTGAGTTTAACATTCGTCTTGATCAAACAAATCAAACTTTGCAAGAGTTAGTCGGCTATTTCCGTGAAGCTACTCCCAGAGCGGAGCCAGCTCAACTTCCGGTTCCGGAGGCGAATCCGCCTATCAGATCAGAACCCTGTCCGTCATTTTCGGAGTTCCGCCCCTCACTTCCGGAAAAATTCTCTGGCTTACCAAGTAAGTGCAAGAGATTTCTTTTTCAATGTAAGCTGATTCTTGAACACTCTCCTGCCAGTTTTCCTAACGACAAGAGAAAAATCGCCTTTATCATATCTCAGTTATGTGGAAGAGCCCTTGATTGGGCAGAGGCCCAATTTCTTTCTGAATCCAGTTTTTCCTGCACATTCAAGCAATTCTTAAAAGAATTCTCGTTAGTTTTTAACCATGACTCTGACCAAAGTACTGAATCTCGTGGTTTATTAAACCTAAAACAAGGAAATAGGTCCGTAGCCGATTTTTCGATTGACTTCCGGGTCAAAGCCGCTGCTTCCGGACGGAATGAACCCGCGCTTAAAAGCGCTTATTTCAAGGCTCTAGATGAGACAATAAAAGATGAACTGGCAACTATAGATGAACCATCGACCCTGGAGGATTTGATAAGATTAACCATTCGACTGGATAATAGGCTTCGAGCCAGACAAAGATCTAAAGTAAGATCCCACGGTTGCTCTGTTTCTGCCCCTGCAAACAACCTTAATACCACATCTGTTTGTTCCTCATTTTCTGAACCTGACTCCAGATCTAGGAACCGAAATCAGCCTGCTTCTGTTTTTTCCTCTAAATCTCATGATGTTTCTCCACCAACAGAGGTTTCCGAAATCGAGCCCATGCAAATTGGTCACACCAGACTCTCGACAGAAGAGAGACAAAGGAGAGTTAAGGGGAACCTGTGCATGTACTGTGGAGAACCTGGCCACTTTGTTTTAAAGGGATAGTTCGGGATTTTTGACATGAATCTGTATAGCATCCCCATCACCAGTGTCATGCAATCACACTGACTTACCCCTGGCAGCGTCCTGTGAGCAGAGTTCTCGTCCAGTTTTGGTCAAGCCGAAAGTAGTCCGGCAGGTTTGCTAGACCCAGCGAAATAAAACGTTTCTCTTCCCAAAACATTATGTGTTCAAAAGAGTGATATTTTTGCATCCCAAAAACATTGTAGTGGAAAAAGTCACACGTCGTTATCACTTGGTCCTATTTTCTCTCTGTTCGTATCAGTGCGCGCCGTCATTCAGACAGCGAGCTCAACAACAGCCAGATGCATGTCTGATGACATGCATCTGGCTGTTGTCAGGTTAGTAGGCCCTAGCTGTCTGAATGACGGCGCGCACTGATACGAACAGAGAGAAAATAGGACCAATTGATAACGACGTGTGACTTTTTCCACTACAATGTTTTTGGGATGCAAAAATATCACTCTTTTGAACAAATAATGTTTTGGGAAGAGAAACGTTTTATTTCGCTGGGTCCGCGAGAGGATATGAGGATATGAGGAGTCTAGCGGACCACCTACAGTCTAAAAAATCTCCTCATCTGCTGTTACCAGCTACTCTGTTTACCCTGGATCAATCTCTCACCTTATCCGCCTTCATTGACTCTGGTTGTGAGAGAAACTTAATTGACTCTAACCTGGTTCAGCAACTAAACATCAAGATCACTCCTTTGAAAAGTCCTCTCAGAGTTTCAGCCCTTGATGGGAAGAGATTACCTCAAGTAATTCATCAGACTCTGCCACTCGAACTGCTGATTTCCGGTAACCACAGAGAAACAGTTTCATTTTTTGTTTTTCCATCTGCCTATTCTCCACTAGTTCTAGGATATGAGTGGCTGGAGCGTCATAACCCACACATTAATTGGGCTAAGAAACACATTGAGTCCTGGTCTGCCTCTTGCCATGTCTCATGGCTCCGCTCTGCACCTCCGTTTGTTCACTCCCCAGCCAATCATCAAGAAGCCGATCCGCCAGATTTATCCAATGTACCCCCTGACTACCATGATCTAGCACCTGTCTTCAGTAAGGTCAGTGCTTTGTCACTTCCACCTCACAGACCATACGATTGTGCCATTGACCTGTTACCTGGGGCTCCACTTCCCAGTAGTCGACTCTTTAATATGTCCAAGCCTGAAAGAGAGACTATGGAGAAGTATATTAATGAGTCTTTAGCCGCCGGTATTATTCGGCCCTCCTCATCTCCGCTTGGTGCTGGTTTTTTCTTCGTAGGCAAGAAAGATGGATCCCTGCGGCCCTGTATTGATTATAGAGGACTGAACCAAATTACCATTGAGAACAAATACCCCCTGCCTCTGCTCGCATCCGCTTTTGAACCTGTTTAAGGGGCCGCAGTTTTCTCAAAATTGGATCTAAGAAATGCCTACCATCTCCTCAGAATCAGAGAAGGAGACTAATGGAAGACAGCTTTGTAGCGACAGTGGACGTGAAAAACTCTGTTTTAACAGGAAGAAACCTCCAGCAGAACCAGGCTCAGAGTGAGCGGCCATCTGCCGAGGCCGACCGGGTTGCAAATTTTAAAAGGATACCTTCTCCCACCTACTTACCCAACCAAACAGTTCTGACTTTCATCCAAAGACTTTCCTTTCAAAGTCCATTATAGAAAACCATTATTTGGCTTGATCACCTTGGGGTCTGTACTCAGTCCGTCCCAAGCTCCCATCCCACCTCCTCATTCACCATGTTTTACCATGATTCCTAGTTGAACCCGGTCTTCTCCAGTCCATTATGACCTCCTTCCAATCCCCCTCCAAAAGCATGGGATGATGATGGGCATCCTGCTGGTGTGTCGCATTGTCAGTGTTAGACCAAGAAGTTGTGGCCACCAGCTTTTCGTGAATTTGGAGGGTTACATTCCTGACCGGTCCTGACTCGTTCCATTTGGACCTCATTTTGATCTCTGACTTCGAGACTTCCTTTGCCTTCACTTCTGGTCTTCCACCGGGTGGCGTCAGTTGAGTGGGGCACTGTTAGGTCTGCTCCTTTCAGGCTGTGTGTGTTGGTTTGTGTGCTGCTCCTACCTGAACAGGTAATTGGATGCACCTTGAGCTTGTCCGGCAGCAGTCTTATAAGAGAGCGAGTTCCCTTAGGAAGATGCCAAAAGATTATTGCTCTTTGAGTAGTAAACAGGCCTACATCCCTGTAAAAAGCGTTCCTATTTTATTTTCCTGTAACTCACCATCTTCCCCTCTTCCCTGCATAACTCCTCCATTGTTTGGCCTAGGCTCCTAGCTTTTTCTTTTTCCTGCTGAACTCCAGATCCCACATGGTTTTTCTTCTATCCCTCCCTTATTATCTTCCTGTTCTCAAACCAACAAGATTAATCAGAACTGCTAAGCTCCTTGTCAAAAAAACCTGTCCACCCTCCAACGCTCTGACTGCACTGCCTCACCCACCAGCAGCACTCACTCAGTAAGACCACAAACCTTATGTTCTCCCTTGGGATCTTATCTCCCTGTGATCAAACATAAGCCAAACCAAACCATAGAACATTCAGTTTTTTCCTTCCACCAATTTACCATCATCTACTTCAGAATGCTGAAGATGAAGTGTCTCTCCTCATTCCCAGTTCCAATTTCCGCTTCTTTCCTCATTAAATAATGAATCTTTTAAACATTTCTCTCTGCTTTCGGTAGTGGCTGACTTAAGAACTCATTCTTGTTCCCTACTCATCACATATTGACGCTTGGTCAAGTCCCCAGTGTGTCATATACTGACATGATGGGTATACCTCTCACATCCCTGACGAGCAGGGTTCATGACAGGCTGTGGTCATACATAATGATATCACAAGTAGCAAGTGTGCTCTGTGTTTAAGGTAGTAAACATGGATGGTAGTGCTGGAGTGCATCTAGTGATCTTTCATTTGGAGAGAAAGATTGCTCTCCCCACTATCGTCCACCATGGTTGGTTTTCTCCCTGCTCCTGGGTTGCAAGATGCAGAATAGGGACCTTTGTTGAGTATTAATTACGTCCAGGTCGGATGAATGCGACCTGGCCATTCAGACACAGATCGAATCTGAAAGATCTGATTTGTATCAAATTTAGGACTACATGGCCAAATAGCCTGGGTCGCATTGGAAAATTTCTTATTGTTTGTTGCTCAGACTGTCATTAAAAGAATAGTGACAGGTCACATATGGGCAAAAACATCAGATTTGGGTCAGTTCAGGCTGCTGTGTGAACGTAAGCTTGGATTTTCTAAATCTTGAAAGATGAAAGGCCTTTAATGGTTGATCACATTTGTAACTAATGCAGCCAGTGGCTACCTTCTGCTTCATTTCATCTGAATTCAGGATGTGGGAGGATTGGTGGCTCTTAAACAGCCTCAGAAAGTCACAGAACCACAGAGATCATTTGCTCAGAATGGCGTTCACATCTTTTTGTCTGGCTGTTGGTGAGATTACATTTTACCTTTGAAATTTTTACTATAAAGAGTGGGCATCTTTATAAATGTATAAAAGATAACTACCAGAAATAACACATTGATAGCTGTAGAAACTAAGAATCATACGGTACTCGCAAAACTTAAACAGGGGAATTATATGAAAAGGTCATTAAAGAAAAAAACTTCTGACAGAAACTGAAGAGCTGTCAGAAGTAAGCATTTGTTTTTTTATTCTCTGGCTTTGAATCAAAATGTTTTTTAGAGCTTTTTCTTATGCTTCTGTCGATTGTAGTTTTATCATGGATATGATTTCAAAACATTATAAACTTACATCTTGGTGATACATTTGTTGTTGAAGGTTTATAGATACATGGCTATTTTGGTTTGAAGTAATAAAACATGGAATAGTTTTTGTTGGTGCTTCAATGTCATCTCTGAGATGTTGTTAAAAAATATTTGTTAGAGAAACTGTGTGACCTTGTTCTTAAAAGTTGTTTTCTCAAAAATGTTCATATTCTGCTTTTTTGTTTCATGTTGGGTGAAGTGTGATAGGACCATGGTTGACACCCAAGCCCATATACATTTAATACAGTTAAAAATGTTTTTAAATTGAAATCTTTTGTAGATTTTCATTTTATTGCAGGATCGTGAAAGGGGTTTATGAATCCATTTATTCCTAAAAGTGGAAACATCGAGACAATATCACAGATCACATTTGCAAATTTCCAGCCAACAAAATTAAATTATATTTTAGACTAAACTTGCAATACACACAGAAATAAAATTAAACTCCTACAATGACTAGAAGAGGTGCTTCTAAGGTGCTTAATCTTTTAACATTAAAGGAATATTATTGGTGGTAATAAACTTGTTGTTTGAGAATTTTAACACATGGTTTATTCTAAAACTAAGTTTGAAATCTTCAGCGAGAAACAATCCGGGATGGTCCTGCATAAAAAGCTATTGCATGTCTGAAGACATATATTCTGCCCACTGTTTGGGCTTTAAGAGGAACTATGATGCTGTGGATCTAATCTTTTATGAAAGACCTTGAAAGTTGCTAGAAAGTTTGGACAGAAGTGGTTCACCAGGTATAAGCTCTCTTTCAATGCCCTCCCAGCTCCTAAACATAAACCGTACAGTAAACCTTTAGGCTAAGCCAAGAAGAGCAGACAGAATAAGATCCAATAACTTGCTTGCATGAGAGTACCTCAGATCTATGCAGGTCCACACACAGTGCTATTTCCTGCACAATAGATGTGCTAGATTTACATTTTGGCTTTTAGAAAAACCACAACCATACAAAAAAAAAGAGGCATCAAATACACTGTTTTTTTTTTTTGGTTTCCTGTTTGTGCAGCTGCAACGCTGAGTATTCAGCCTGACAGACGACAGTTCTTCCGCTACGAAGCCTTCAATCTGAGCTGTGCGGTGTCAGGGGACTTCAGCGACTGGATGGTTATGAGAAATACTTCTGACGTATTTTCTCCTTGTGAAGACTGGGGCCGCCCTAACCGATCCTCCTGTATCAATCGCAGTGTTTACAAGACAGACAGTGGGCTTTACTGGTGCCAGTCTAAACGAGGCGAATGCAGCAATGTCCTTAACATCACAATAAACAGTAAGCTGATTTTATTACAGTGTTGGTTGATAAAAGTTTTACACTTGACAAAATGTGAGTACAGTATGAGTCAGTCACTAATGATACAATAAATGTTTTTTTATTTTATATTTAATCCTGTTCATCAAAAAAAAAGCTTTGATTTATTTCTATCATTTCAGCTGGTGTTGTGATCTTAGAGAGTCCAGCACTTCCTGTGATGAATGGAGAAAAAGTGACGCTTCGCTGCTCCTACAAAGAAAGATATGGCAATTCGACATCAAATTTCCCTGCTGCCTTCTTTAAAAATGGTGAATTTATTGGAGAGGAGCCTCAAGGAAAAATGTCCCTCGATGTGTCGATGTCCAGCAAAGCATTTTACAAGTGTAAACATCCCACCAAAGGAGAGTCACTAGAGAGCTGGCTGGAAGTAAAAGGTAACAGTCTTCTGCAGCACATTACTGGGTCATGAAAAGATTGCTTTAACTCTATACCAACATAAAGTTTGGTTTTCTGCAGATGACAAAGCAGGAATAAAAAAAAAAACTTCATGTTTGTTTTTTAAAGACAGATCAACACACCAAAAAAAATGATGTTAAGACACTAAACATGTCCCTCACCAATTCATACTTGTGCTTTACAATGGTGCAGTAGATCTGCAGAAAAAAATAATTCAGCAAATACATCTGGAAGAATTTTTCCAGGTTTAGATGTTCTCTATCCAAGCACGAACCGCAACTATTTTGCAAAGATTAATAACTAAGATTTATATGTTCACTTTGTCTAATCTGGTGGTCAGAGAATATCAGATTACCTAATCTAGCTTTTTTATACTTACATTTTTTTACTTTTGGATATAAAAACCCTTTCCAAAAAATATAATATCATGAAAAAGTTTTGATTACCATAATTTCATTCAAAACGTAAATCCTTCATACAGTATACATGTACTACCCACAATTTACATGATTCCAAGTATTTATTTGTTTGTTTTTACATAATTTGGTCTCCCAACTCATAAAACCTGCAAAAACAGAAGAAAGAATCTGCCCAAATTTTGCAGGAAATAAATGATTTTAAACTGAGTGTCAAACACTTATCTACTAAACCCAAAGCACAGGTTTTCACGGTGTCAAGGTTGTCTTAGTTTGGTCCAATATGAGGAAGATTGCAGACATGACAACCAGCCAGACGAGCATCATAGCGAAGGAGAATGGCTGTTCACAGAATGCTGTGTCCAAGCAAAGTAAATAATAGAAGTCTAGTGGAAGTGCAAAATATGGCATGAGAAGATACACAAACAAATATGGCTGTAGGTTTCTGCGGATTATCAAACAGAAGATAAAAAAAACTGGTAGAGATCCAGAAAGAGTGGAATAAGGAGGGAGACACATTTTTAAAAACCACCATATTCAGATACATTAAGGAGATTAACTACATCTGCCAGGCTCCTTGGGTCAAGCTACTTCTGAACCCGAGCCAATATATGAGATGTGTCAACTGGGCCAAGAAGAAGAGGAACTGGACTGTTGGCCAGTATTTAGACTTTCTTTTTTTTCCCCAATGAAATGCATTTTATTTGGAAATCAAGGTCGAAGGGTTTGGAGGAAGAGGGATGAGGAACAGAACCTTAGCGGCTAGAGGTGCATTGTGCAATATCCTCAGTCAATTAGGATTTGGGGTACATTGCCCAGTGGATAATGTACCACTGTTGTGGTTATCTTAACTCCAAGATATACACAACAGTGTGCCAAAATGAGTAAATGATGCTGATGAAGGTTCTCAGTCATCCAGGTCATAGTCATTCCGTAAAAATTCAATTCAATTTTTATGGAATGAGTAAATGATGATTCCTTCTATTCAGAATCTGTAAGGAGATGCAGATGTCATCTTCTAGCAGAGCCTGGCCCCTGCCCATATCGACAGAAAGCAACAAATCTGGTTTGATGCCGAGTGCTTGACTGGCCAAGCAACTTATCAGATCTAAACCCTATTGAGAAGCTATCGGGTACTCTCAAGAACCGAATGAACATAAGGATCAACGACAGAGAAGACCTGAGAGCAAGCATTAATTAAATCTGGACCTCCCAAACCTTCAGGCAATGCTACACACTGATTGATTCAACATGGATGTAAAATACGTAAATAAAACCATAGAAATCAATAAAACAAACCACAAATGCAAAAACAGAGAGAGAAAACAGAGTCCGGTCAGCAAGGAATTCATCATTATCTATACATAAAACTAATACGTTTGTTGTAATTTAATTAATTTAGCGTTCATCTGTAAAAAAATGTAAATAAAAATTTTTCTTGTCATCACCGAATCCGGGAGCGGCCATTTTTGCCCAAACATATGGTAAATGGCATGTACTTATATAGCGCCTTTATTCAAGTTAGGAGACTTGACCAAGGCACTTGACACTACATTCATTCACCCATTCACACACACACTCATGTTGGCAAGCTACATTGTAGCCACAGCTGCCCTGGGGCTCACTGACAGAGGCAGGACTGCCGTACACTGGCGCCACCGGGACCTCTGACCACCATCAGTAGACAATGCAGGTGAAGTGTCTTGCCCAAGGACACAACGACAATGAAAGTCGGAGCCGGGGCTTGAACCGGCAACCCTTCGATTTCAGGGCAAACTCCTACATCCAACGCCACTGTAACACCTCACTCCTGACCAGTGACGTGCGGTGAGGTTCATAGCTGGTGAGGCACTGACGTCATCAGAATCAGATTTGCAAATAGATGCATAGATTGACAGCAGTTTACAGGTTATGTTTCACTTCTGCATCCTTACACATACAAACTGTAGCTCACAAAACACACATTTCCTTAAAAAACAAAACAAAATAAATGTTATTACTGTCTTACCTTTACTTATAAATGAATAGAAGTCCTCCTTATCTTCCTTCAGTTTTAAAAGTCTCTCTGTCTCAATGGAGATCACTGCCAGGGAAGAAAGCCTTCCTTGATCCGTCCTGTTCCTGCCTTATGTTTTCAGTCTCTTGAGCACCCCCTGCCATGAGGCAAGAGAACTGCCTGCCTCACCTCGAACTTGTTCTCTGCCGTTTATAATCGCTCATTACACGAAACACGTTACACAAACACAGTTGGTGACAAAAAGCTCTGTACATTATATACATAAGCCAAATTATTAGAAATAAGTTCACATATTACATTTGTTTAAACCATTTTATTGACGCCGTACAGCAACATGCTCTCTCCGCTTTGCAGCCAGCGCAGAGCCAGGGGTTGCGCAATCCAAGGTGAGGCAGAGCTCGCTGCTGCCTCACCGGCATCGCTTCCAAGCATTTGAATGGGAAAATAAGAAAATTCAGCGATTTTGAACAAATAAAAATCGAAATTGGTGAAGCTACATGAAAAATGAATATTTTTTAGTACAAACCACCGGATGAATATAACAATTTAAATTACTTTATGGTTATATATTTTCTTTCTTTCCATGATGGCTGGTGAGGCACTGCCTCACCTGCCTCCCCTGACCGCACGTCACTGCTCCTGACAGCCTCTGGCAGTGTCTTCAGGGTGCGGTAAGCCTAGCGCCATTCTCTCTGCTTTACAAGCAAACTCAATGGGAACTACTAGACACATCTGCAATCAACAACAATTATTGAAGATTTCCAGAGGACTTCACCATTGAAATTCACCAGAGCTATAGTTAAACTGACAATGCCCACGTGCATTGCAGTTAGAGATTGGAATACATCGGGTCAAAATAAAAAACAAAAAAGAGTTATTTTACCTTTCCGATTCCTGATCCTCTACGGACGGGTTTGTCGTTGGATTGCCAACTTGAAGAGGGAGGATTTGCCATCGAACTTCTGGCCAGAGAAAAAACCCGTAATATGTAGCCAACATTTGGAAGAAGAATGTTTTCAAGATGACTTGGATAATAGCTCGTTGTGACAAACACCAGATACAGCACTGGGACTTGATCAACAGCCGATACCGCACCGTGACGTCACAAACCAGTAGGTGGCAGTAGTGTTCTCTGACAAACATGGATCCCTCCAGTAAAACACATTCAAATGAAAATTACTCCTAATTAAAACACTTATCATTTATTGGACAGTGTGTAATAATTTCATTTTTTAAAGTACTTTCAGAAGATTGAATTCTGAATATGACCAGATTTTTTCTTTTAAAAGCCAGACTTACACTTAGACTTAGACAAACTTTATTTTCATCTTGTACATACAGAGTGTATACAAGGAAATTTAGATGCATTGAGCTTTTCAACAGTGAATGAGCAGCAGCATTATAAAGTGCAGCATTGATCAGAATGTAAACATTGTAGGAGAAAAGGAAAACCAGTTTAAAGTCATGCTGCAAAAGGCATTCATATGGGGAGGTTCAGTGCAGTGCAAATAAATAAATATGGCGCAAAACGCAGTAGAACATTGAGCTGTGTTCTATTTAAAGGGATTATGAAAAAATCAGCCATGTTAGTAGTGCCAATATGATGTTGAGAGTGATGCAGAGTCTTGATTCGAGGGAAAAAGCTCTTGCAGAATCTGCTGCTCGTGCATTGAATGTTGCAAAGTCTCTTCCCAGAGGGCAGCAGGAAGAACAGTTCATGGTGGGGGTGTGATCAGTCATTTACGATGTTACGGACTCGGGACAAAGAGTACTGTAATGAAATGTCTCTTTTGGAGGGAAGTGGAGCCCCTATTATCCTCCCTGCTGTCCTCACCACTCTTCTCATGTTCTTCCAGTCTGAGGAGCTGCAGTTAGAAAGAAAAAGTTTTTAAGACGAGTTTTAAAAATACACAGTAAAGAGGATTGTCAAAGGAGGAGGGGGAGCTCATTCCTCAACGTTGGAAAAGCAACAGAAAAAACGTTGTCTCCTCTGAGCTGCCATTAGCACCTCGGTACCTCCAGGACCAACAGGTTTGTTTATTTGCAAACAACGAATTAATGTTTGCCGCCTCCACCTAAAGTAGAAAAATAGAAGCAGCCGGTAAAAAAGGAGACAAAGAATCCCAGATCCTAACACAAATTATTTAAAAAGTAACTGAAATTGTTTAAATTGTGCGCCCTAAATGTCTATTCCAGTAAAGTTTGACAGGAATTATGGATATTAAGCAACTTTTCCATGATTTTCATTTTTTTTTTTTTGAAAGGGTCTTTAAGTAATACTCTTTATTTAATTCAGGATATGTAAGTATATTTACGTTAATAACAGTTTAATAACAACAGCAATATAATAATAATAATTGAACTTTATTCATTTAACATTGGAGAAATTCTTTCTCTGCATTAACCCATCCCCTTGGGGAGCAGTGGGCTGCCATTGTGTGGTACCCGGGGAGCAGTGTGGGGTTAAAGGTCTTGCTCAGAAGCCCAGATTGCAGGCTGTGGGGATCGAACCAAGTACTTGCAACCTTCTCAAAAGCACAAGTGCTCTGCTCTAACCACTAGGCAAACACTCCCCTCTTAGGGAACTTTGAATACATTCTGTTGATATATGATATGGCTGTTTTTTTTTTTTCTGAGTAACGTGAATTAAATTGTCTCTCTTATCCATTTGCTTGTAATACCCTCGCAGAGAAACCTGAACCCTTAAAGCTCGACGAACCATCTAAATCTACCGCTTCTTCTCAGATGATTAGTCTGCTCTGCACCATCATATTGTTTTTCATCTACACCATTGTCTTCATTGTGTGTATAATTATATACAGAAGGTGGGCGCGAGGTAAGCAGATGGCTATATTTAATGAATAGTCCAATTTCTTTCGATTTCAGAAGAATAATTTTATAAGCTGTTCAATGAATGATATCGAAATAAATGAAAATATAATTATGGAAAAGCAAACATTATGAGATTGAATAGAAGTCAGCTTCAGTAACTTGGGATATTGTATCTACTTATTGCAGCAGTTTTGTGGGGATGTTAAGTTTTTTTTATAGGATACCCAAACTACTAACTCCGATTCAATTTCATTATTCATCTTCCTATACTTAAGAAAGTCTAGAAATGAAAATTTAGTCTTATTTTTTTCCATCATTCTCAAATGTTCCAGATAATGAAATCAATCTTACTGTCAGACAAATATAACCTTAGTAAATACAAAAAAAAGTTTCAATTTATGAAGAGAAAAAAGCAATAGGCCTACATAAACCCTGAGCGGAAAATAACCACCATATTATAAAGAGAAACAGAGGGACTCAGTATTCAAGGTGAGGCAGTCAGTAGGAAAGCTCAAAACAATTACTAAAACAAACACAAACATAACTGAAGTGAGCTGCTGATTATCTGCAGACCTGTAGTGTCTGCAGGAGGGGGGCCGCCCAATCACTGTCACTGTAGTTAGGGAGAAACACCGGTAAGTGACCATGATAATCAGAACAGGAGATGATTATCAGAGTGAGTCACTTACCTGTGACAAAGTGGTTCAGTTTGTGTTCACCACTTGTCCCTTATTCCTTTTCTGATTTGTAATGCTACCATTTAAACATTAGTTTGATACTTTGCTTCACTTACTATCCCAAGTTTTTTTGTGTTAGCATTATGTTGCAGTTTACATCTATTTGTATGTTTAGATTAAAGCTATTTCTTCTGGATTATTGGTTGAAATTGTTTATTTTGTTTCCAATGTATATTCATGGTATTTGTTTTCCTTTTTACTCACCCTTGTTTAAGTATTTCCTGCTAAATTAGCTAGATGATGTCATTAATTAACTTGCTGGGTTCTACCATTTAGAGGGTTTCCTTTGGAGTAATGCTTTGTTTGTTTTTATTTAAAGTAACTTTTTGAGTTATCTTGTATCACATTGTTTATTTTGCATACCCTTTCATTATGTAGATGAGTTTGTAAATTAGATTAATAATTTTATTCTTGTTTCTCTGTTTAGACTTTGTTTTTTCTGTTGTATGGTTCAATAAACCTTGAATAAAACACGCGACTACTGGAGTACGTTTCTGTGCAACTGTATTGTATAACTGACGTTCTGATACAATGCTCAGCCTTATCATACCAAGGGAGTAAGGTTCCCTCTAGTGGTCACATCTGGTATAACACATGGCAGGTCTTATTACATAAACACTGGTTAACACCACATCCCCTTACTGGAAGTTAAAAAGAAGATGATCAGTCTTTTTTTAAGTTTGCTGTTAACCTGAGAACATTTGTAACCAACATATCCGTTCAACTTAAAGGATTTTCTTTCCTTTAACCTTTCAAGATAAAAGATTCATTTCATTTCAAACGTCTTATAACACCAGACATTTAGCATTCAGCCACATAACTGGCATAACATAAACAGTGTTTTAAACCAAACACAATCATCATTTTCATTCATTTTCTATTTTCTTTCACCTGGAAATAGTTTTCTTTCTTTTTTTTTTTTTTGTAACAGGTAAGTGTTTCTCTCTTTTTTTTTTTTTAGATGTTTCTTTCTTTTTTTTGATTGTCATATATAGGTAAGCATTTCACATTCTCTTTTCCATTTCACAGGTAAGTATATTTCACATTTTACAGTTAAGCATTTCACCTTTAAATCACGCTTATTATTTTCACAGGTCAAGTCTGTCCGGTCTCTTTATTTCCCTGCCAGACCTGGTTCTTGTGATATGAGGTGAGCTCACAGTCGGTCTGACTGCTGAAGGAGTCTCTTCACCTCTGTCCACCTTGAGTGGCTGCTGCTCGCACTCTGACCTCTGCTCTGGCATAGGAATCAGGTGAGAACGGTTCCGCCGCAGTGTCCCCTGTGATCCAGCGACCAGGTAAGATCGTGGGGTGCCGTGTGCGGATGTTACCGTACCTGGCTCAGCTGTGTCTGTGATCCAGACGTCGTCACCTGGTGACAGCTTACCCAGGTCTCATGCTCTGTGTCTGCTGTTGTAGTGTTGTGCGTCTGCTCGCCTCTTCTCCCTCTCTTTCTGCCGAAGGTCGCGAAGGTCTGGAAGTGCTGGCTGTAACCTCTCTGGCAGGACCGGCAGAGTGGTGCGCAGGCGCCGTCCCATGAGCAGCTCGGCAGGGCTGTAGCCGTTGCTCAGGGGTGTCGCTCTGTTGGCCTACAGTAGGCGGTAGGGATCGCCGGCTTTCTTAAGCAGGCTCTTCAAGGTTTGGACGGCACGCTCGGCCTCGCCGTTGCTCTGGGGGTACTTTGGGCTGCTGGTTACATGCTCAAAACAATAGTCACTGGCAAAGGCTTTCATTTCATGCCCAGAAAATTGTGGCCCATAGTCACTTATTAGAGTCTCTGGAATGCCGTGACGTGCAAACATTGATTTGAGGTGTGTGATCACATTAAAAGATCGTGTGGGGCTGAGTTGGGCAATCTCAACATAGCGAGAGAAATAATCAACTACTAACAGGTAAGTTTTGTCCTTCAGCACGAAAAGGTCTGCACCTACTTTCTGCCATGGCCTATCAGGTAGTTGGGTTGGCATCAGGGGCTCTTTTGGGTTGGCCCTCTCCTTGATGCATTCTCTGCATTTGAGTACTAGGTCTTTGATCTGGTTGCTTAGCCCAGGCCACCATACTGTTTGGGTAGCCATCTCCCTACACTTCACTATGCCCTGGTGCCCCTCGTGTATTTTGTCTAACACAGTGTCTCTCATTGTTGCAGGAATGACTAACCTTGTGCCCTTCAGGAGTATTCCGTTTTGCACAGTCAGGAACGCCCTCTCGTGCCAGTAGTGCTTAGCGGGCCCCTGTAGCTGGTTCCTGTCCGGCCAGCCCTCCACGCAATACTTCATCACCTGCGCGCAGACGCTGTCGCCCTGCAGCTGTTTGCGGAGCTCTGTGAGGTACCTGTCGCTGGTCGGGAGATGCTCCAGCACCGCTTCGACGTAGATGTTGGTGTCCTCCATCAGGTCGTTGTCGCTGCTTGTCACTGCATTTGTCAGTGGGGCGCGTGAGAGTGTGTCAGCCGAGGTAAGGCTTTTCCCAGGTGTGTGGAAGATCGTGTAGGAGTACCTCATCAGACGCATCCTGAATCTCTGGATTCGTGGTGGCAGTGCGTCGAGAGCCTGGCCTCCCAGCAGGCTCACTAGAGGTTTGTGGTCTGTTTCGAGTTTAAAGTGCACTCTGAGGATAAAGTCACTGAACCTCTTGCAGGCCCATGTCAGTGCCAGTGCCTCTTTCTCCAGCTGGGCGTATCGCTGTTCTGTGTCGGTCAGTGACCTGGAAGCATACGCGACCGGTAGCCACGCTTCTGCCTTCTTCTGTAGCAGCACGGCTCCCAGCCCATAAGATGAGGCATCCGCCGAGTGTTTGGGTCGTACAGCTGGAGTACTGGCGCTGAGGAGAGTTCATGTTTGAGGCCGCGGAAGGCACGTTGCTGGTCGTGCCCCCAGCACCACATGTTCTTCTTTGAGAGCAGGGGTCTCAGTGGCTTGTCCTTCTCAGAGAGGTTGGGGATGAACTTCCCGAGCTGGTTTACCATCCCCAGGAAGCTGCGAAGCTCGCTGATGTTCGTCGGCTCCCTCATGTCTTGAACTGCCTTTGTCTTCTCTGGGTCTGGTTTCACCAGCTGAGATGATGTGCCCCAGGAACTTTACCTCTTCTCTCCCGAACTCACACTCTGCCATGTTCAGCGTCACACCGGCCTTCTCTGCCCGCTCCAGGACTGCATGCACCCTGCTGTTGTGCTGCTCCTTTGTGTCCCCCCAGATAAGGATGTCGTCGACGTGGCAGACAACGCCTTCCAGGCCTGCCGTGACCTCAGATGTCATCCTGTTCTGGAAGTGCTCCGATGCTGAGCTGATCCTGAAGGGTAGCCTGTTGAAGTGGTACCGCCCGAATGGCGTGATGAAGGTGGTGTACAGTGCTGAGTCTTTTGAGAGTGGTATCTGCCAAAAGCCCATGTTTGCGTCGAGTTTGGAGAATTCCTGGGCCCCTGTCAGCATGCCCAGAGTGTGTTCCACAGATGGCAAGATGAACTTTTCCCTGCACACTGACTCGTTCACTGGTCACATGTCCACACATATCATCACCTCGTTGTTTTTCTTGGGAGCCACCACCATGCCGCAGCACCACTCGGTTGGCGCCTCAATGCGGCTGATGACGCCCAGGCTCTCCATCCTCTCCAGCTCCCGCTTCACCTTACCCATGAGAGGTAGTGGTACTCGCCGTGGAACTTTGAGAGAGAAGGGCTTGGCGTCCGGCTTGAGTTTCATGGTGTAGGGCTTCTGCACCAGCCCCAGTCCATCGCAGAGTTTTGGGTATTTCGTCCTCACCGTCTCCTGGTCGATCATGTCCATCCGCGCAATCAGTTTGAGCCTCACTGAAGCTGGCCTGCTCAGTAGCCCGACGTGTAGGTCTCTGACGATGTAGATCCTCTCTGTGATGCTCCTGTCCTTGTAGGTGAGTGTTTCTGTGACTGACCCTAGCACATTTAACTTTGCACCACCAGGGCCATACAGCTGTTTCATGGCGGCTTTAATGTCTTTGGCACCGGGCATGGTACTTTTGTATACTGTCTCTGGTATGGCTGTTACATCGGCGCCCGTGTCTATTTTAAAAGTCACTTTGCTGCCCTGTAAGCCTATGTCAGCCATCCATGGATCTTCACCCGAGGACACCTCACCTAGAAACAGTCCATCTGTGTCCTCGGCTAACTCATTCACAGAGCTGGCGAGTCTGCATACCTTGCCGTAGTGCCCTCTTTTGCCGCAGCTGTGGCATTCAGCGTTCCGTGCCGGACACTGAACCGCAGGATGAGATGGTAATTTTCACATTTGTGGCATGCCTTGTGTCCCGTCGCCGTGTGAGTCATTGCTTTTGCTTTTGCATGTCCCGGTTTAAGTCCTTTAGCCTTGAATTGCGTCGCGTTCCGCTGCTTTCCTTTCGCTTTGTGCAGTGCATCCACAGCTACTTTGCTAGCAGTGCTCATCTCCCCCCTCAGGTCCGTCTGTTGGCGCTGAACTTCCTCCGACTGCCTGGCCATGGTGATCGCCTTGGTGAGAGTGAGTTCGCTATCCAGCTGCATTTTCTGAGACAGTGCTGTGTCTCTAATGCCCACTACCAATCTGTCTTGTAACAGTTCATCATGTAGGAAACCATAGTTGCAGCTTTCTGCTAGGGCATGAAGTGCTGTGAGGAATGCATCGACTGATTCGGTAGGTTGCTGTACTCGTTGGTTAAACTTTGCACGTTCATAAATCACGTTCTTCTTCGGGACGAAGTAACCGTCAAATCCCGCCTTCACTGCATTGTACTGCAAACGCTGCTGCTGGGTTAGCACTAGCCCTCTTAGCATGTCGTCCGCCTCATCACCCATGCAGTAAACTAGCGTGTTAACTTGATTAGCCTCAGAAGAACTGTTGAAGTTACTTGCCAGCCGGAATCTCTCGAAGCAACGAATCCATTTCTCCCATTCGTGCGGTTTAGAAAAGTCAAACGGTTCCGGTGGCTTTATGGTAAACGTTGCACTCGGGATAGCAGCCTGACCTTGCCCACTCGGTATGCTAGCCGCTCGTTGGCCTTCCGTCACAGCGTTAGCCACATGCTGGTCTGTAACGTTAGCATCCTCGTGGTGGTCCCCTGGCGCTTCAACGTGCCCCTGCTGCTACTCTCGCTCGCTCATTCTTGCTCGATGTCTCCTCTGTCGCCGTCTGGAACTGGATCCTGGCATTCACGCTGTCTCTTGTCCGCAGGTCGTGAAAGTCTACACTTCTGACACCATGTTGTGTGGTTCAATAAACCTTGAATAAAACACGCGACAACTGGAGTACGTTTCTGTGCAACTGTATTGTATAACTGACGTTCTGATACAATGCTCAGCCTTATCATACCAAGGGAGTAAGGTTCCCTCTAGTGGTCACATTTGGTATAACACATGGCAGGTCTTATCACATAAACACTGGTTAACACCACATTTTCTACCTGTTTAATTGTGGCTTGGTCCATTCAAGTGCAGGTGTGTTGCCAATGGGTTATATAAGCA